GGGTTTAGTGCTCAACCCACCCCCCCCCAACCAAGGGGCTGGGGGAATGAGACTCAATTCGACTGGGTTTTTGACCAAATGAAAAGGGTGGTTGTTTTGTCTTGTTTTTTTCAGCCTCTGGCTGCCAGTTCAGCCTCTCCCAAGATCATTGTCACTGCACCCAGGGCTTGGGGGCAGCAACATTTTTCCTGACCCCACCAGTTAAGTGCACTTAAAATGAAGACCTTGGGATGAAGGTGCAGCTTCTCCCTCCCCTTCTAAGGGGAGGAGAAAAACCTCTCCCAGAGGGAATGTTTGGTGCTTGTCCTCTGGGGAAGGTGCTTTGGAGTTTTGAGTCACTTTTCTCCCTCCTCTCCCCCTGTTTTAAATCCCAAGGGGGAGGAAAAGAGCAGGTCCCACCAACACCCCAAAGGCATCGAGTGGGTTCAGGAAGGAGGAACCTGGTGGGTCTGGAGATCGTGGTTCAATAAATATGGTTTGGGTTGAATAAATCCCTGAAAGAGGAGGAAAAAGAAGAAAAAAATACAAAGGAAGGAAAAGAAAAGGAACCCCAGTTTCACCATAAAGGAAACAAAAAAAAAAAAACCACCCTGGAAAATCCTTCCTGGTTCTGGAGGAACCGCGGGCGGCGGCTGCGACCCCACTGAGCTTGGGGTCAAAACTCTGCCCTTCATCCCCAAAAAATACCAACCCCAGGGTTTTCATCCTTGCCTGAAGTCCCAATTTTGCTTGTTTTTTGGTTGTTTTTTCCCCCCCCCTCCATTTGGGTTTCAAACCCAAAAGGTACAAACTCTGCCAACCCCAATAAAACCCGGGAGCGAAGATCCTGCCCAGTCGCTGGGGGTGTCGAGGTGTCCAACCCTCCCCCTCCCCCCCCAAAACCAAAAAGAGCAACTTTTGGGGGAGTTTTGCCCTTTTTCTCCTCAACCACAACCCTCCCAGAGGATGGGGACAGGTTTGCATCCCCATCCTGGGCTCTCCCAGTCCTGGGAGAGGTTCCAGGATCCCATCCAACTTGGTTCATTAACATAAATGATCACCCCAATTGGCTTTTTCCTCCAAAAAAAAACACAAAACCCTCAGGTGCAGAAAGGGTGAAAACATCTCTGGTGATGTGGGATTTGGGATGATTTTCTTCCAGGAGGATGCAGAGATGGGGAACCTACCACCAGCATTCCCCAGTTCCCCCCCCCCTTTAAGATAAGATTCTGCCCCGTTCCCAAGATGAAAACCAAGCTCCCCAAAACCTGGTTGAACATCCAAGATGTTCCTGCCCACAAACCACCAGCAAAAGAGCTTCTGAAAATCAGTGCCCACCACAGTGACCTCCAGCAGGATGGAGTCAACCAAAATGGAGAGAAATTCCCCCCCAAAAAACCCCTCAGGAATCACCAGGGAAGCTTCAACTTTTGCCTTCCCCCCACCAGGGTCACCTCTTGTTGGGGGGGACCCAGAACATCCCTGCTCTGCAGGGAAAAAAAAACCCACCACGGGCAAAAAAAAAGCTCCAAAAAACCAAATGAGGATCTTGGGTTGGTTTGGAAATATTTCAGCTTCATTTGGGGTGTAACCAGGGTGGGGTTTTTTGGGGTTAAAAATGGGAGAATTAGAACCTCAGTGAGGATAAGGCTTGGGGTGAGTGCCCAGTGCTAAGTGCACTTCCAACCTCCCCTGCCAGGTTCTCTCATCCCTTTTCCAGGGATGGGCAGGATCAGCCTGGGAAGGGATTGCATAGTTTGATGCCCTCTGAAAAAAAATACATCAACAACAACCACCCACAGGTGAAAAAGAATCCTAAGAATCCTAGAAAACCCAGAGGGAACGTCGGGAACGTTCGGAAATCACCCCCGGGGTTCGTGGGGTTTATTTCCAGGTGAACCTTGTTCTGGCCAGGATGGGGGGGCCTGGGTTTGGGGAACTGCAGTTACAAGGCAAAACAAACAAACAAAAGAAGACCCAAAAGAAGAAAGAAGAAGAAAAAAAATCATCATCATCAATCATCTGTGCAAAAATTGCAGTGCTCAAGTTAAAACCCCCTCCCCAAAGAGGAGGGGAAGTGTCTGGTTCTTCCTCCACCACAGGGGCTGGGGGAGAAGGGAACAAAATGGACAAGACTGGGGGTAAAATGGGTTCAACTGGGTTGTTGGGTTGTTTTTTTTCCTGTTGGGGGGGGGGTTTCTTTGCTTTTTTTTTTAGCCCTGTTATCAAAAATATCCTTTGATCCTGTTCCTCAGCCCAAGGTCAGTTATGTGGCTCAGCAAAATGGAGCCGAGTTAATTCGATTCGGCAGAACAAGAGGTAGTAAGAGAAGCAGCTGCTCAAGTAGAAAAGAGTTATCACTGAGGGGATGGGGTGGGGTTTGGGGGGAGGTCTGAGGGGCACCCGGAATCACTTCCAAGGTGCTCTTTGTCCTCTCTACTCCCCCCACCCGTGGTTATTGCTGGGTGGGGGACACTGACCTTGTTTCTTGTCTCGATTCTAAGTCGGGGGCGACCGGGGGAGTTCACGGGGTGTTTTGTTATCGGTTGGTTTGGGGGGGGTTATTTTACACACTAGTTCTGCAGGGTTAAGGAGGGGGAGGAAACCAAACCCAAACCACCTCAAAACCACTCAAACACCGTGGTCAAACCCCCCCCCCCCCCCTCCCACCCTAAGAAAATGTTTTAAAACAAGAACATTTTTAAAACCAGAGCCTTCGAATCCCCGCTGGGAAGGGAGGTCGGGTTGGGTTCAGGTGAGTTCAACACCACCCCTCCCCAAAACAAATCCCCCCCCCCCCCCTCCCACCCTAAGAAAATGTTTTAAAACAAGAACATTTTTAAAACCAGAGCCTTCGAATCCCCGCTGGGAAGGGAGGTCGGGTTGGGTTCAGGTGAGTTCAACACCACCCCTCCCCAAAACAAATCCCCCCCCCCCCCCTCCCACCCTAAGAAAATGTTTTAAAACAAGAACATTTTTAAAACCAGAGCCTTCGAATCCCCGCTGGGAAGGGAGGTCGGGTTGGGTTCAGGTGAGTTCAACACCACCCCTCCCCAAAACAAATCCCCCCCCCCCCCCTCCCACCCTAAGAAAATGTTTTAAAACAAGAACATTTTTAAAACCAGAGCCTTCGAATCCCCGCTGGGAAGGGAGGTCGGGTTGGGTTCAGGTGAGTTCAACACCACCCCTCCCCAAAACAAATCCCCCCCCCCCCCCTCCCACCCTAAGAAAATGTTTTAAAACAAGAACATTTTTAAAACCAGAGCCTTCGAATCCCCGCTGGGAAGGGAGGTCGGGTTGGGTTCAGGTGAGTTCAACACCACCCCTCCCCAAAACAAATCCCCCCCCCCCCCCTCCCACCCTAAGAAAATGTTTTAAAACAAGAACATTTTTAAAACCAGAGCCTTCGAATCCCCGCTGGGAAGGGAGGTCGGGTTGGGTTCAGGTGAGTTCAACACCACCCCTCCCCAAAACAAATCCCCCCCCCCCCCCTCCCACCCTAAGAAAATGTTTTAAAACAAGAACATTTTTAAAACCAGAGCCTTCGAATCCCCGCTGGGAAGGGAGGTCGGGTTGGGTTCAGGTGAGTTCAACACCACCCCTCCCCAAAACAAATCCCCCCCCCCCCCCTCCCACCCTAAGAAAATGTTTTAAAACAAGAACATTTTTAAAACCAGAGCCTTCGAATCCCCGCTGGGAAGGGAGGTCGGGTTGGGTTCAGGTGAGTTCAACACCACCCCTCCCCAAAACAAATCCCCCCCCCCCCCCTCCCACCCTAAGAAAATGTTTTAAAACAAGAACATTTTTAAAACCAGAGCCTTCGAATCCCCGCTGGGAAGGGAGGTCGGGTTGGGTTCAGGTGAGTTCAACACCACCCCTCCCCAAAACAAATCCCCCCCCCCCCCCTCCCACCCTAAGAAAATGTTTTAAAACAAGAACATTTTTAAAACCAGAGCCTTCGAATCCCCGCTGGGAAGGGAGGTCGGGTTGGGTTCAGGTGAGTTCAACACCACCCCTCCCCAAAACAAATCCCCCCCCCCCCCCTCCCACCCTAAGAAAATGTTTTAAAACAAGAACATTTTTAAAACCAGAGCCTTCGAATCCCCGCTGGGAAGGGAGGTCGGGTTGGGTTCAGGTGAGTTCAACACCACCCCTCCCCAAAACAAATCCCCCCCCCCCCCCTCCCACCCTAAGAAAATGTTTTAAAACAAGAACATTTTTAAAACCAGAGCCTTCGAATCCCCGCTGGGAAGGGAGGTCGGGTTGGGTTCAGGTGAGTTCAACACCACCCCTCCCCAAAACAAATCCCCCCCCCTCCCCCAAAATCATCCAATTCCAACTAAACTTTGCTCAGTACCAGCAAAAAAAATAAAAATAAAAACAGTGTTAAAAAAAAACAACAAAGAAACTCTCTATTAAAAGGTTCGTGACGCTCAGACTGAACCAGCACCCGGCTCAGGGCTGGGAGGACCCAGAGAGGTGCTGCTTCCCCTCAACCTTCTCCCAAAGCTTTGGTCTGGTTTCTTGGATGGTTTGGAAGAACCTTCCCACCCCGTTTCCATCCCGTGCTCCAACCTGAGCACTCCCATCTTCCTCCTCCTCCCTCTTGCAGGGGAACTGGGAGGTTTTGCTCAACCCCCCTTTTTTTTCCCCCCCTCCTCCATCACCTCCTCACACCAGGCAATTCCCACTTCTCAGCTCCTCCAGCCAAATTCCCACTCCCTCCTTCCACAGACAGGGAGGGGGTTAAACCAAAAAAATAATACATATATATTATTGCATTTCCCATCTCTCATGGGTCCCAGGGGAGTGGTGGGGCCGGGTGCTCAGAACCTGTGCACCAAAGCCTCCTGCTCCTTGCGCTTCATCTCCTCTTTGTAACAGCAGGAGCAGAAATTCCCAGTTTCTGGATGTCCATAAAAACTGCAGTTGGGTTGTTTGCATTTGTTCTGCTGGATGTTATAAAGGATTCTGCTTCTGCTCCTCTCCGTGGGTAACCCTCTCTGGGAACCATCCTGTTCCAGGGCTTCCCGGTAACCGTTGCTGGGAGCGGGGAGACAAGCGGAGCCCTCACAATCCGTTGGGAAAGCAGGATGGATGTCCATGTCCGTGGGGGAAAACCTCCCTGGGTGGGAAAGGTGGGGTTGGTAGGGGTTGTTGGCCCTGCCTTGGGGACAATGTCTGGGCAAAGTGGCATAAGCAGGGAGGTTCCCACAGCTGCCCCCAGCCACCTGCCTCCGGCCGTCGGGGTAAGCGGGGGGACGCGGCCCCTCCAGGCTGCTGCCCATGGAGGGTCTGGGAAAAGTGAAAACGCCCGAATAGCCCGTGGGAAAAGCTGCAATTTTAGCACCCAGGGCCAGCTCCGGGGTGTGGATGGGGTAGGTGGTGGGGGGTGTGGGGTAGGGGGGGGTCAGCAGCCCCTCTTCCCCCTTGCTCGCCTCCCCCTCCGGCCTCTTGCCGGGAGCCGAACCCCCCAGCGCCTTCTTCTCCGCTTCCTTCTGTTTCTGCTCAGCCAGGAAACGTTCCTCAGCATCCAGGAGGTACCTCTGGATCATCTCCTCCTGGTACTGGTGCCTGGTGCTGGTTTTGAGGTGCCCAGCAAAGATGAACTTGCGCTCCCCCTGCATGGCTGCCCTCAGGATGCTCAGGCTCAGCCTCACGTCGTTGCTGTATTTGTAGGGATCCGACGGCTTTTCCGGGGCCGTTTTCCCAGGGCAGGTTTTTTCCCCAGGACCTGCCAACTCTCCTTGGGAAGACTCCTCTTTGCTGCCTTTCCTTGCCTTCAAGGAACCTTTCTTCTTCTTCTCCAAAGTGTCTCCCTGCCCGTTGCTCACCCCTCCTTTGATAGCTTTCCCGTGCATCAAACCTCCCATGTTCTTCTTGAGTTTGCTTCCCAACGTCTTCCCAAAGCTGCCCAGTTTATTGGCCACCGAATCCGCCCGTTTTTTCTCCTTTTCCTTCTCCTTTTCCCTCTCCTTTCTTGGCTTCTCCCTCTCCTTCCCAGCCCTGCTGCCCCCGTTGCTGGCTGAGCTGCTGCAAACAGACTCCTTGTCCGACTCGCCCGACTCCGCCGCTGAGCGAGCGTCGTCGCCTGCCGAGGCCGTGGGAGATTCTGGCTGGGCCAGAGGAGCCTGGAGGGGGAAAAACCAGGAATGTTAGAAGTCCAGGAAGTTCCTCAGAGAAAGAGTTTTCAGGCTGAAGGTGGAACAGAGCAGGACTTGGAGAATGGAAGGGACAAACAGGCCGGAGCAGCCCAGCAGCCGCTCTGTGCACCCGCACATGTTCCTCTTTGTTGACCTTTCAAGGGAAGAGATGGAGAAGGAGGTGGTGCTGGGGGTGAGGAGGGGACAACACACCCCATCTCTGGTCTCCCAGACAGTTGGAATGACCATCTTAGAGGTCTTTTCCAACCTTAATGATTCTGGGATACGTGGCAGGCCCGGCTGGAGCCCATTTCACTGGGGACATTCTCCCTCAAGGAGGTCACAGCCCAAGTGGCACCAGTGGAGCTACAAGAATGACACCTCGACAGCCTCAGACAGACCAAGGAGACAAGTCCCATCCCTGGGGGTGTTGGAAGGGCAGGTTGGATGGGGCTTGGAGCAGCCTGGGCTGGTGAGAGGTGTCCCTGCCCATGTAGGGGGTTGGGACTGGATGGTCTTGAAGGTCCCTTCCAACCCCCCCATGGGCAGGGACACCTCCCACCAGCCCAGGTTGCTCCAAACCCCATCCAACCTGCCCTTCAACACCCCCAGGGATGGAGCAGCCCCCTTGAAGATCATCTAGTGGCCCATCTGAGTCATCTTTAAGGTCCCTTCCAACCCAAACCATCCTGTGTCTGTAGGAAACCAGCTCCCGTTTCAACCCAAGACGCTTCCTCCTACAAAGCAGCGGGTTGAGGAACCTGATCCCTCCCCACCTGCTGCTCTGCAGAGAGGAGGGATCAATAATTCAGGAGAACCTCCCTGCTCCTCTCACCTGCATCTCACCAGGCAACGTGATCCACTTGACATTCATGTAGCTGTGCAGCAAGTGCAGCTTCGCCTCCAGCGACAGCGTCACACTGGAAGGCACAACCAGGAGGGGAAAAGTTCAGAGCTCAGTTTCATCCTCATCTCCAGTTGCCTTCTGGGCTCCCTCTCAAACCCCCTCCTGATTTCTTTCAACCCCAAAAGTGGCACCAAAGCAGCAGCAGCCAAGACAAAAAGTGACCTTTGGGTTTTTTTGAAGCCCCTTCCCCGAAAAAAAACCAACCTTCTTTGATTCAAGAAATCAGAAGGTTCCCAAGGGTCAAAAAATCAACTCAAATTCACCCAGGGAATCATCCTGCTGGGAGGTGAGACAAGTCACCAAGCAGATCATGGGTCTACAGAGAGTTTCAAAATTATTCTCCTCTTACCCCCCCAAAAAGACCCAACAAGTCCAGGGAAGAGCAAAGATGTTGCCTCAAAAAAGTCCCACTCAGACAAAATCAACTTCATAATTAATCATGACCTTCTCTATGAATCTTTCTTTCCACTAAAAGCCCAAGGATGGAGCCTCCAAAGCCCTCAAGATGAGCTCTGCATCCCACCTCGTGGGAGTGAAGCTGGTGAGATGTCACCACCCTACCCCAGATGTGCCAAAATCAGGGTTTCTGGAAGAAAAAAGGTTCTCCCATCCCCACCCAACAGGTTCACAGCCCAGGTAGAACCTCCATCCAGGCACCAGAGTTGAGGTTGGATGTTGGGAATGAGTCCTTCACTGAAGGAATGGTCCAGGCATTGGAATGGGCTGCCCAGGGAGTCACCACCCCTGGAAGGGCTCAAGAACTGTGTAGATGTGACCCTGGGGGACATTGACCCAGTGGGGTTGGGTTGATGGTTGGACTGGATGATCTTAGGAGGGTTTCTCCAACCTGTTCTATGGTTCTCTAAGGAATTCCCAGCTGGGGATGGAGAGTGATGAACCCTGGAGGTTCATCTGCAGGGAACCAACCTGGCCAGCTTGACGTTGTCACTGTCGTCCTTGCCCCACTGCCACTCCTTCCCGGGGTCCACGGCGAAGTGCACGGGGAGCAGCTTGTGCTCCGAGTCTGTCAGGGGGATCACAGCTGCACCAGGGAGAGAACAAACCACTTGTCATGCCCAGAAGAAGCAACCTCTGGTGGTGGCAGCCAAGCTCTGAGCACCCACCAAGAGGAACACGAGCTCTGATGGGAACCGGAGTCGCGGCAAATCCCGCAGCGACTCCAACGCTTGGGATCATGGAAGGGTTTGGGTTGGAAGGGACCTTCCAAGGCCACCTGGCCCAACCTCCTGGGACATCTTCAACTCAACCAGGTGGCTCAGGGCTCCATCCAACCCAACCTGAACATCTCCAAGTGTTGCTCTCAACACAGGCACTTGGGCCAAAGGCAGGGAGGGATGGGATGAGGGGGATGGATGAAAAGTGGGAGAGGGAGCTGGAGGTTGGAGCTGAGGAGGGAATTGTGGAGTGTGAGGGTGGGGAGAGCCTGGGCCAGGTTGCCCAGGGAAGCTGTGGCTGCCCCATCCCTGGGGGTGTTGAAGGGCAGGTTGGATGGGGCTTGGAGCAGCCTGGGCTGCTGGGAGGTGTCCCTGCCCATGCAGGGGTGGGACTGGATGATCTTGAAGGTCCCTCCAACCCAACCCATCCCATGGTTCTATCTTCAACTCAACCAGGTTGCTCAGAGCCCCATCCAACCCAACCTGAACACCCCCCAGTGTCGCTCCAACACAACATCAAGACAGATCCTGTTTGATCACCTACCTTGATCTTTTGTGGGTTCTTTCTGCTGCATGGACACCAGGGCAGAAAAATGGGCTTGGTCATAAGCCAGTACCAAGGGAGAACGGTGGCATTTGTTGGCTGGGACTTCCAGGGGAAGATAGATCCCCCCAAAGGGAATTGGGGCAAAGGCTGGAAGGGAATCAGGGCAGTTAATTTTCATCATCATCACCATCATCATTTCAAGAGTTGGTTCAACTGCAACTGCCCCAGAATGACCCGTTTGCTTCAAGGTTCCACCTGCAATTCTCTGCTCACTAAAAAAAGCCCAACAACAAACTAACTCAACCAACCAAACCACAGCCCAAAATAGACCAGTTTTACAGCAGGAAAAGCCTGGTTGCAAAATTAACTTGTCTATTTCTATAAAAAAACCCTTTCCTCACTCCTCCTTCCTCCTCCTCCTCACCCCTTCACCTCTGCTGACCGAATCGATCGGTCTTTGCCGACAGGAAAGTGGCAAATGGGGGATTTCCCACCCCTCCTCACATGTGTTGGGGCAAAACAGGGAGAAAAAAAGCCCCCCAAACCATCAGGCAGGTGGGGTTACCTTCACCCCCTGAGTCCCTCAGCATGGTGTCTGCCACCACCACGATGGGTCTCTTCAGCACGTGGGCCAGGACGAAGACGTGGAATTCCTCCAGGCTCTCGTACACGGGCTCCTCGGAGCTCTCCACACTTGAGGAAGGGAGAGAGGAATGAATTCATTGGCAGCCCTTGCTTTGTTGTTATGGCTTGTAAAAAGGGGGATCACGGGATGGGTTGGGTTGGAGGGACCTCCAAGATCATCCAGTCCCACCCCCCCCATGGGCAGGGACACCTCCCAGCAGCCCAGGCTGCTCCAAGCCCCATCCAACCTGCCCTTCAACACCCCCAGGGATGGGGCAGCCACAGCTTCCCTGGGCAACCTGGGCCAGGCTCTCCCCACCCTCACACTCCACAATTCCCTCCTCAGCTCCAACCTCCAGCTCCCTCTCCCACTTTTCATCCCTCCCCCTCATCCCATCCCTCCCTGCCCTTGGCCCAAGTCCCTCCCCAGCTTTCCTGGAGCCCCTTCAGGCCCTGGAAGCTGCTCTAAGCTCTCCCTGGAGCCTTCTCCTCTCCAGGCTCAACACCCCAACTCTCCCAGCCTGTCGTGGTTGGCAGAGTTGGGTCCATGTTTGCACTCAATGACCTTAAAGGTCTTTACCAACCAGGATTCTGGGTGATTTTATTCCCTGCCCTTGGGAAGGACAATCCTGGGTGTGTTTTGGGGCTGGATGGGGCATGTTGGACATACCCCCCACAGCCACCCCCGTTGGCGCCGTAGTGGACGCGGGGCTCGCTGGACGCCAGCTTGATCAGCTCGTTCCACTCCTTCTGCCACTCCTCTTCCGTGTAAACCAGGCCAGACTGGAAAACCACAACATCAAAACCCCAAATGAACACTTTCCATTCAATATTTCCCCACCCTTGAGATGTTCTCCACGGAGTCAGAGATTTGGGGCAAAGTATTTCATCTCTTCGGCAAAAATAAGGACACATTTGCAGAGCTGGGATGGGGGGAACATCTCCCTGAGGTTCAGGTTGGCTTTGGGTTTTTTTTTGGGCAGGGTGGAATTGAACATTTCAACCCAAGGAATGAGAAGAAACTTCTCCTCTTACATGAAATCCTCCCAGGAGCAAAAGATGAGACCACGGACCGATCGGCCACGGTGGGACAAGGTGGTTGGAGAAGGTAAAATCCAGAATTTCTTTCAAAGAAAACTACCAGGAGACACCAGAAGACCCAGAAATCCCCAGTTACAGGGTTGCTTTTGTGGTTTGGCACATGGCAAAACCTCTTGGAGAAGTTGTGGAGACTGGGAGTTGTCCCTCAGGACTGGAGGAAGGTCAATGTCACCTCCATCTATGGAAGGGTCCAAAGGAGGACCCAGGGGATGGGAGGACCTGTTGGTCTCCCTTCAGTCCCTGGAAAGGTCATGGAGCAAATCCTCTTGGGATTGTCACCAGTCAATGGAAGCAGGTGATTGGGAAAACCCACCATGGATTCTCCAGGGGCAAAACCTGCTTCTAAAGCAGCAAAACCTCCAAGAATTGATCAACTCCTTGACTTCCCAGAGGGAAAACCTCAATTTTTCCACCCTGTCAAGACAGGAACCTCTGTCCTTCCAACAAGGAGGAACCTGCAGAGCAACCAACCTCCCTCAGAGTCAGGGGGGACCAACAGTTCACCCTGTTCCCAAGGCCATCCCAGCACAGTGGGGATATCTGGGGACTTTCCACCTTGACATTGTCACCTCCCTGCTCCTGAGGGGGGTCATGTCAAGCTTTGCACGTGGCCAAGTCCTGAATTTCCTTTTTGGGTGGAGATCTTTGTTCCCTACTCAGGCTGAGGATGATCTTTATCCCTGCATGGACCAACACCAGGTCCTAAAAGCCCCTCAGGAGCCACCACGTCCTGGCTGGGTCTTGCTTGAAAGGGACATTTTTGTATCCCACCAACACTGGACATCAAATTCTTCCAATAAAACATTCCCACCTTCTAACCAAGACAATTTTGCCATCATCAAGCTTGAAGGACACGGGGAGGTGCCCAAAATTCAAGGTGGGCTAAGAAGCACCTCTCAAACCTCCCAAAACAACAGGATTTTGGGTTGGTTTTGATTCAAGTTAAGCTTTTTCTCCTCCCCCCAAGAGGGTTTGGCTCCTACCTCCTTGTTCTGCTGGGTCTGCTGCCAACGCCACCTCCTCTTCAGGGCTTCCCTTTCCAGCCCCTTGTCCATCAAGGTGTAGAGGGATTTACGGAGCATGAGGTCTCGGTCGTGGAAGCCCCACATTCCTGCACAGGAAAGGGGAAAAAGAAGGCACTGAGAAGGTTCAGGAGGAGCTGGAATGGATCCCACCACCTACCCCCAACCAGAGGAAGGGAATTGATTGGAAAAACCAAAGGGAAGGATCCAAGATTCTCCATCCAAGTCATAAAATCATTGGGTCCCTTTTTCCGCCTTAAATTTTGGGGCATCTCCAAGAAGCAGCAAAACCTTGGTTTGAAATTAAAAACAAACCAACCAACCACCACATTTGTTGGCAAAAATGTTCCTTTCTTACCAAGATCTGGTGGGAAACTGAGCTGGGATTAAACCACGTTGTGGTTTTGGTGGGTCTGAAGCACAAAGAATGAAGGAAATGCCCAATCCTGGTGGTTGAAATGTCTGGAAACCTCAGAAAAATCATAGGGATCAAGTTCAATTTGGGCTCTTGGAAGTCCCAGGAGCCAGAGGAGGGAAGGGAGGAACCCTGAGTTCCCAGTTCCTGCTGGAATACAGGGAAGTGGGCCAAGTGGCCAGGACAGAGGTGTCTCAGAAGGACACAAGCTGTTGGCTTCAGCCTGTTCCTCTCCAGCAGAGCCCAAGGGTCTCGACTGGTTCCAGCCCCAGGGGACGATGAGCAGCATCATCCTGCTTTCCTGAGGGAATCATGGACTCCTTCTGGTTGGAAGAGACCTTGAAGATCATCGAGTCCAACCATAACCCAACCCTACCAGCCATGAACCCAACCCTACCCAGTCCAATGCTAACCCATGTCCCTCAGCACCATCTCCAGGGCTTGGAAAGCCCTCCAGGGATGGGGACTCCTCCCTGGGCAGCCTGGGCCAGGGCCTGACAACCCTTCCCAGGAAGGAATTGTTCCCCAGATCCAACCTCAACCTCCCCTGGGACAACTTGAGGCCTTTTCCTCTTGTCCTGTCAATTGTTCCTTGGAAGAAGAGTCTGACCCCACCTCAGCACAACCTCCTTTCAGGAAATGGGTGGGAAAGGCTCAGTCCTGCTCCCAAAGGATGATCCTGGGCTCCTCTCCCAGGAGGTGACACTGGAAAGGTGCCCATGCCCTTGGTTTGGAGTGAACCAGGTAGTTGTTCTTGCCATGAAGCTCACCCAGGGACGCGGCGTGGAGCAGACAGTTCCCATCTCCCGTGGTGGCCAAGGGAAGGAGCCTTTGGCAACTGGGATCCACGTTTGCCCACCAGTTCAGACGACCTGTGGGAACATTGGAGAGCATGAAAAAGGGACCCAGGACACAGCACAAGACCAGGGTGCACGTTCACCCCTTCCACAAACCCCAACCAGGATGGAAACCTGCTCAGTTTGAACGGGAACACCCAAAGGGATGAGCAGCTCCAACCCATGGCTGGGAGGAGGGAAGGACCCAGGTGGGCTCATAAATCAACAAAAAGGGGAGATGGGACCAGTAAAAGTCCCTGGGGAGGAACATCCTGAGGGTTTAGGCCCAAAACTCAGGACCTGCTGCTGATCCCAGAGGCCTGAGCGACGCGTCGGGGCAGATAAAAAGAGCAGGTTTTGGTAACACCAACAACTGGAGGTGACTCAGGTCAGAGGCTGCTAAAAATAGAAGCTAAGGAGAACAAACCAAACCAAACCATGAAGGTAGAAACTGGAGTCAAGACCAACAAGTGGAGGTTAAACATTCTCCAAGGAAACGGGGTTGGGCTGGAGTAGGACTTTGACCTCCCCCCCACCCTGGATCTGCTCTGCCCTCAGGACCAGGAGCTGCCTCCTTTGGCCCCCACATTTTTCCAGGGGTTTTTTCCAGAGCTGATCCCGAGCACCAGGGAGGGTTTGTCTGCTGGGAGATGCTGTTCAGGCTTTCAACAACTCGTGTGGAAACTGCTCTTGGAGGAAAGGAGCTCCTGCCTAGATCTGCTCATCAGGCACTGCCTGATCCTGGTTGGGGAGCCTGGCTCTCAAACCCAGGAGTTGTGGAAATTTATGGAATCATGGAAGGGATTGGGTTGGAAAGACCTTCAAGATCATCTAGATCCAACCCCCTGCATGGGCAGGGACACCTCCCACCAGCCCAGGCTGCTCCAAACCCCACATGAGATCCTTCAACACTTCCAGGGATGGAGCAGCCACCTTGAAGATCATTGAATGGATCATCTGGGTGATCTTTAAGGTCCCTTCCAACCCAAACCATTCCATGAGCTAAAGCTCATCCAGATCCCACCCCCTGCATGGGCAGGGACACCTCCCACCAGCCCAGGCTGCTCCAAGCCCCATCCAACCTGCCCTTCAAC